CATTCTCAATACTGTAATGTGAATAACAGCATAAATGTGTTTGTTTGCTTCAGAGTGTTCGCGCAAAACTACACAAAACTGCGCCTAATAATCACTAATTTAGAAGTGGTAGACTTATAGACTAAAGGAAATGCAGCTAGTCAACAGATCATCAACGTTTGGGGCACTTTTATATGACTGAATAGTGAGATATAACAAGGCTCTTTTTATAGTGCACCTACGACCAAAATTTCTGAGCATGAATCCTCAGATTCACAATCGGGGTACAATAATTATTTGCCACGCCCGGCCCATTTGGAGCAAGACACCTTACCCCACTTGTTCCAGTCTCCCCAGCTCCATGATGGGTGTCAGCTGTTAGCTACTGGGTTATCCTGCGATGGACTGGCATCCCGACCAAAAGGAATGTTTTACCATTTTCATCCGCTTGTGCCATTTGAAACCTAAATTTGAAAGCACTGACACTCGACTCGCAATCTGAGGGTCGCGGGTTTGAATCCCCGTCACACTAACCATGCTCGCCTTTTCAGCCGTGGGGGCGTTATTATGTGACGGTCAATCCCACTATTCGTTGGTAAAAGAGTAGCGGTGGGTGGTGATGATTAGCTGCCTTCCCTCTAGTCTTACACTGCTAAATTAGGGACGGCTAGCGCAGATATCCCTCGTGTAACTTTGCGCGAAATTCAAAACAAACAAACAAATACTATTAACAAGTACATAAAGAGGAATGAATAATTAAAACATTTGAAGATGAGGTGAATACTCACAGTATCAACATTGCCGAAGATGTTTTTTGTTTATTTTGAAAGAACTTTTAGAAAGATCATATCTTAGCGGCCAAATATTCGATTTTGAATGGTTAGTTAAGAATTCCAATTGAGTGAAATACCACAACTTTCTGCGTGTTTTTCGAATTTCAACACGTTCTACTAGTTATTATAATAATAATATTGAAACTTTCAAAACAGTTTCAATGTAAGTACATGTAATGTAATGTACACAAAAACATCGGGCTTTATTGTAGTATTTTATTTTTCGATATATGTATATATACACATACCAGTTAATACACATTTTAATAACTTATACATTTTTGAAATTCCTTAATTTGTATGAAGGATTATATACATACGAGTTTATTAGAAGAAGAGAAACCTATAATAAACAACAGATTTTAAAGAGTATATATGTATATTATTTGACTCAAATACAAACCACTGCCAGATTGAAATGGATTAATTCACTACAACATTCAGCTTGTTAAGAATGACTCTAGAATTGAAAATGATCTTAAAAAAGAACAAACAGCTTGAGATACGTTATAGTACTAGGACGTTTTCAATGAAGGATATGTCAGAGTGCAAAAACTTTGATGAACATATCTTCAAAAGTAGATTTTAAGAACTATTATTTAATAAACATTTTTAGAGTATATATTTTACTATCCATAAGTTCCTGTTATTTCAATTTAGTAAAATAATTTCAAAGTAATTTGTATTAAGACCGACTTCATTTATCAAACAAATCTACATCAGTTCGCTTGAGCAGCCTTAAAGAAGGCATTTTCGATTCGAATTACCGAAAAATACTGCGTAAATGATACACATCAAGATCCACAGTCCGAGTCATTTAGCCAGCCTGACCAGCTACAAGGCACGTGGGCCGACTAGAATAGAAAAAACAAAACATAATCGACCCAACGATATAAAATTTTTAGTACTATTTTCTTTTTATCAAACGTGCATTTGTATATTTTTGCTGAACTCATTATTATGTTTTTGTACCGTTAAAGTATTTTTTTCTTCAATCTCCCCCCCCCCCCTTTAGCTTTCTGGGCATCCCTGGCCAATTTTTGAACATTACGGGAAATCTCTACAAGAGTCTGGAATGAACATAAGGTTCCTGGAAGATGTAAATGGCGGGATTTATCCAAACGAAGTGTAACGAATATTAACATCTTAATGGAAAAATACCTTACCTTCTGGTTTTTCAATTCAAAAGTTTTGTTTAATTTTACATATATATGCACATACATATTTCTCATTGTGTCTTTCTTTTAAAAAAATCACATCTGCAATTGATAAATGGAATGAACACATATATATTTGTGTGTTCTAGAAATGGACCAGTTAAATCTGATAAAGACCAGTTAGAATTTCTGTGAAGGACTGGTTAGAAATTTTACGAAATTTGGACCCTGATACACATATATATTCACACTGCAACCAATCTTCAATAGTAACGTGATATAATTAGCACGAGATTTCAAATACCTGTTTATGCAGAAAAGAATCTTTGAAAGAGTATCATGACTTTGAGACCGAAATTAACGATAAATATATTGTTACGTCTCCGTTTGTTAATTAACTTTCCGTAACTT